GGTGCTGGGGCAGGTGGGGGTGTGGGGGGCATGGGCTGAGCAGGTGGGAACAGGTAGGTGGGCATTGGGAGAGCTGACTGAGGAGCATCTCAGTCCACCCCAGTAGGGCCTGTATACTGCCAGGAGCTACAGTAGCTGACCTTAGCACTCACTCTGCTGGGTGTGTTTAGGGGCAGTGTTTGAGGAAGGAGGCTGAGTTGAGGCAATGCACTATTTGTGGGACCCCTGGCAGTGGGACCAGGATCTATCCCTGCCTGATGCATGAGCTGGCTTTTTGGAGTCCATTCCATGTGGCGGGATGCCTTCCTCGGCTTCGAAGCAGAGGGAAGAGGCTTAGTCCTGCCTCAACTGGGCCCCCATAGAAGTCCTTACCCTTTCTGAGGAGTGGATGGGGGTGGATTGAGGTGAGGGGGGGGAGGAGGAACTGTGGTTGGCATGTAAAATGAATAAAAAAAATTTAATGGCATGCAAGATAGGATTTCAATGACAGAGGGGAGGGATAAGCTCTCTTTACTTCACACTGAGAAGAGAAGGGATGGGACGGGTAAACAGTCAGCCCGGAGCTGATCCAGCAGCTGCTGTAATGGTGGGGACAGGCCTGAAGGTATGCTGGCTGGTGAGATTAGCGAGGTTGATCCAGCAGAGCAAGGAAGTTCTGGAGCTGGGATCAGTAGAAGCAGGCAAGGCCCACAGAGTCCAGGAGGTCATCCAGGACTCTGGAGATCCAGGACTCATGGAGGTCATCCATGTCCAGGCAGAGGGCAAAGTGGGAAACTCTGCACGGGAGTGCCCTTGGGAGGGAACAGGTGCCCCTCGGGCTCAGGAAGCAACACCAGTGTCAGGAGATATTGGGGCTGGGGGAAGACTGGGTGGGCATCAGGCATGGTGGGAAAAGAGGCAGATAGGAAAGCAGTCGGGTCTAACAGGGGCAACCTCAGATACTCAGGACAGGGGAAGAATTAAAGGAGACCTGCACACGGAAAGAGCTGCACAGACAAAGGCAAAGAGAAGAGCTGAGGGCTAAGGGAAAACCAGTCGTGGGGGTGGAGAGGTCAGAAAGGGCCTCTGGCTGAGCAGGAACACAGGCAGGGACGAATCCTAAGGCTGATATTACCCAAGGAAATGCCCAGGCTGCAGCTCTCATGTCAGGAGCCCTAGCTATGATCCCAGGGAGTTGTGGAAAGGTAGGGCAGGAAAACCAAACACAGGATACCCAGGGTCAACCTAAAGAAGGAAGGGAGGGTGAGGAGTAGCGCCTGAGCAGAGGATGTCAGAGCCGAGATGCGGGGGAGGCCAGCAAGGCCCAGGTGATAAAAGGAGGAACCAAGGATAGAGGGGACAGGGAAGGAGTTGTTCTGGACAGCTTTATGAAGAATGGGGATGTTTTTCAACTTCAAGGGCCCTGGGGATACTGAAAGAGGAAAGGGACTTCTCTAGGATCTGGCAACACAGGCACCATGCAAAAGGAGAGCCCAGAAGAGTGTGAAGAACAGGCCTGGAAGAGAGGGAAAGCCAAACTGAGCTCACCAGGGTCTCGTCAGTGTGATTACAGTGATCAGCAAGGGCAGGACAGGCCAGAGCTGCCCATGCCGAGTACCTGTAAGGTGGGAATGTTAGTGGTGAACTGTGAGGGCTGAGAGAAAGACCCAAGAAGGTTTTATGGTACAAAGTAGTGGCCAAGAGCACATATTTAGGGGCCTACACTGACTTGAGAGGGAGTAGGTTGAGGAGGAGAACCCTAGAAAGTTGTGTGTACACAGGAAGTGGGTCCAGACCCAGGATTAGAGAGAATTTAGTTCAAAGCCAACTAGAAAAGACCCCCACCTGCACAACAAAGCCATGGTCAGAGCTCTGGGACTCCAAGAACACGGGCCATCAGTCAACCACCAACCCAACAAGGCAGGAACAAGCAGCCTAGGAATTGGCAAGAGCCAACATGGCTGGGCAGGCAACGCCAAGAGGGACTGCAGGCTGCAAAACTATACTGGCTTTAGTTTGTCATTCAGGGTTGCCCTGATTGTGTGCAGCCACCTGGCCTAGGCATAAGAGACCAAAGACTGGGACACAGATACCCACGCTGGACAGCTGGTGTGGCAGTTTTCTGAAAGTATACTAGGAATGTGCTCAAAGGGACTCATGCCTGACCTAACCTTGTGACCCTGACTTTCGCCAAGCCAACCATTGGATATTGCCTACAAAATGTAGAATATCGGGGCTTTGGGAGGGCTGAAGACAGAGGCCTTCTAGAGGCTTGGTTCAGCCAGGTCTGACAGCATGATCACACATACCCCTTGTCTTGCAGCCACAACAACAGCCCCATCTGTCTATCCACTGGCTCCTGGACTAGGAAGCACAACTGCCCCCAGGGTGGCCCTGGGATGCCTGGTCAAGGGCTATTTCCCTGAGCCGGTGACCGTAAGCTGGAACTCTGGAGCCCTGACCAGCGGCGTGCACACCTTCCCATCTGTCCTGCATTCTGGGCTCTACTCCCTCAGCAGCTCAGTGACTGTACCTTCCAGCACCTGGCCCAGCCAGACCGTCACCTGCAACGTAGCCCACCCGGCCAGCAGCACCAAGGTGGACAAGAAAATTGGTGAGAGAGCAGCCAGGGGAAGAGGAGTTCACTAGAGGTGGGAGTTAGGCATTTGCCTACCTAGACCAACCAGGCTGGGCTGCCATCGCCAGGGAGGGGACCTCAGCCCATGACAGCGGGAGAGCCTGTCTGTGTCCCTTCTGAGGACTTCTGCCAATGTTCTTTGCACTCATGGAAGAGTACTCTGGATTGTATGCCCATGCCCCTCATCCTGGACACACAGAGGCAGGCTCAGCTATCAGACTGTCAAAGGTTGTACTCAGGAGCATCTTGGCCTGAGCCCATGCATGAGCCAAACACTCCCTTTCCCCATCATGGTGCCCTTCTCATCTCCAGACCCCAGTAACACACAGTCTTCTCTCTGCAGTGCCTGGAGTTGGAAGCCCTTGCAAGCCCTGCACATGTCCAGGTAAGTCAACAGGCCTTTTGCTCCAGCCCTTGTATGCAACAAGTGCCCTAAGCAGTCCGTGTTGGAGAGTATCCCAGGTATTGGCCTATTTCCATCTTTCCATTTCATCTACAGGCCCAGAAGTATCTTCGGTCTTCATCTTCCCACCAAAGCCCAAGGATGTGCTCACAATCTCTCTGAGTCCCAAGATCACGTGTGTCGTGGTGGACATTAGCCAGGATGATCCCGAGGTCCAGTTCAGCTGGTTTGTAGATGGCACGGAAGTGCACACGGCTGAGACCCAATCCCGGGAGGAGCAGTTCAACAGCACCTACCGCGTGGTCAGTGTCCTGCCCATCCTACATCAAGACTGGCTGAATGGCAAGGAGTACAAATGCAAGGTCAACAGCCCAGCCTTCCCTGTCCCCATCGAGAAAACCATCTCCAAACGGAGAGGTGAGTGGTGCAGAGTGGGTGACATCGTAGCTGTGATAGGGTGTAGACAGAGCTTGGCATAAACAGACTTCTGCCCTATCATTCACCTTTGTGCTGACTCCTCTCTGTACCCACAGGGAAACTTCAGGTTCCACAGGTGTACGTCATGCCCCCACCCAAGGAGCAGATGACCCAGAATAAGGTCAGCCTCACCTGCATGATAGTAGGCTTTTACCCTGAGGATATCGATGTGGCCTGGCAGAAGAACGGACAGCCAGAACAGAGCTTCAAAAACACTCCCCCCGTCTTGGACGCAGATGAGACTTACTTCCTCTACAGCAAACTCGATGTGAAGAAGAGCGACTGGGAGAGAGAAACTTTCACCTGCTCTGTGGTACACGAGGCCCTGCACAATCACCACACAGAGAAGACTCTGTCCCACAGGCCTGGTAAATGAGCCCAGTGTCCTATGAGCCCTCTGGTCCTAAGGGACACTGACACCTACCTCCATGCCTTCCCTGTGTAAATAAAGCACCCAGCACTGCCCTGGGATCCTGCAAAAAAAAAAAATGTCCTGGTTCTTTCTGAGATACAGAGTCTTCCTAGGTCATGGGCTGTGGGGTCTCCAGGGTTTGAGGCCTGAATTAACACTAGGGAGAAAAACATGGGTCTGTACTGCCGGACCCAGTGCTCTGGAACTTGCCTGGCCTCACTGGAAAGACTTACCCCTAGACAGTGACTCTCACTTGCTCTCCCTCTAACTAGCACTTTATCTGTTCTGGGCCCAGAGATGTGCCTGAGACACCACCAAAGAAAGGAACACGCAAACACCATCTCCCTCAGTCTGTCCTTGCCCCCGGCCCTGTCCAAGGATACCTCTGAGTACATTGAAAAGGTCTATGTGGCCAAAGGCAGGCAGGCAGACACTTGCTGCCCCTCCGCTCAATCCAGGAAGCTTTCAAGGGGCTAGGTCTATGCCACATGGTGAGAATGAAGGTAGCTCTCATTGCCTATGAGAGGGACTATTGGATGTCCATGTGGATGCCAAACCCGACCTAGCAGAACCAACATGATGAGTAGCACCCATCCCACAAGGCCCATATGTGCACACACACACACACACACACACACACACACACACACGTGACCTCACATGGGCATCTTGCACAGTATTCAGTCAAAAGAGATATCAGGTTTCCCACATGCCCCTCCTCAACATGCAAAAGTGTGCCAGCTGAGACAGATACAACTTCTCTCTGCCAAGTATGCCCACACCCTCCTCCAACACACATAAGTCCCCTCAGGCCCTTTCTGTCCCTGGACCCTCAGACCAGTTCTCCTTCCTCACACAATTGAAACTACTCCAAAGTTGTACAACTTGACCCCCTTCCCAGTGTGGACCTTGTTTGAAGTCCAGGCAACACCAGGCATGGGCTGTGTCATCACTCTGGCCCTCTGGGCTTGGTCACCAGGGACATACAGAAGACCAGGCAGGCCACACAACCACTATCCACAAGAGTCACAGGCCCTGACTCAGCCTAGCCAGTCCCAGAACTGAGGAGTGGAGCAAAGAGAATGGTCTCCTGCACAGTCCAGGCCACCATCAGGTCCAGTGTGTCTGGCTGAGTCCAGGAACAAAACTGGAACTCTTTCGGGAACTGAGGTTTCTGGTCCAAAGAGAGCAAAAAGAAAGCTGGCCCCAGGGAGGACCCGCTGGCCCCAGGGAGGACCTGCTGGCCCAGCCCAGCTGGCCCTTTCTCCTCTGACTCCATGCAGACCACTTGCCACACAGGGGATTGCCCAGCCCCACCTTGTTGGGACAAACACTGACTGTCCCTCTCTGTGCAGAGTTCGAACTGGACAACTGTGCTGAGGCCCAGGACGGGGAGCTGGACGGGCTCTGGACAACCATCACCATCTTCATCACCCTCTTCCTGCTCAGCGTGTGCTATAGCGCCACCGTCACACTCTTCAAGGTGGGCCACACCGTCCCCACAGTGTCCATACCATCCTCACACAGCTTGCAGTCTGTCCCCACGCTGTCCCTGTTCCACCTCCCACGGTTTTGCTCTCTGTGCCATGTTGTCTGCTGCTTTCCTCATGCCACCTCCCGTGCCATCCCTCTGATGTCCTATGCCCCACACCGTCCCATGCTATGGTGGCATCTACCCTGCCGTCCTGACACAGACTCTACAATGTCCACTGCAGTCTCCATGATGCCCCAAACTCTCCCCATTCTATCAGACACCGTTCCCACTCGGCCCCACACTGTGACCAGCCACTATGCTGTCCCATACTGCCCATGTTGTCCCTCAAATTGTCCACCCTGTGTCCACATACTGCCCCCCACCACACACAGAAACACACACTCTCTCACACACTCACACACACACACACACATACATACATACATACACACACACATACATACACACTCACACACAGAAACACACACTCTCTCACACACTCACACACACTCACATACATACACACATTCACACTCACAAACACACACTCACACTCAGACACACTCACATACATATACACACACACACACATACATGCACGCACACACGCGCACGCACACACATGCACGTGTGTGCGCGCTGAGCCCTACTGCCCCACAATGTTCCCTTGCTGTCCCCAGCCCTAACCCTACACCATTCTTACATACACTGCCCCCCCTTAATTCTTGTGTTGTTCCCAGACTGCCCTGTGCTGTGTCCCACGGTGTGCCCTGCTGCCCACCATTCTGTATGTCATGAGGTCCCTACCCTTACCTATAATGGCCAGCATGTACCTTGTTGCCCCACTCGGTCCTCGCTTCATTGCTCATTCTGTCCTTTTGCTACACACCACGCTGTCCCCTATTCACTACCTACATTGTCCCCACACTGCTCCATGTCGTGCCCTCAGCCTGGCCCCACACCGTCCACCGATCTACCCCTCTCCACTCCCGCGTTACGTCACCACAGTTCCCGGCTCTGTCTTCTCTGATCTCCACGCCATCTTCTGGACTCCAGCATGTCTGGAGAGGGGCTCTGGGCGTGGGCCTAGCTTACCTACATGTCTAGAGGAGACTTGAGGTGAGACAGGCCTTGATTTACCCACAGGGCAAGTGCGGGCCTGATCCTTGTCTTATGCCCCTGCCCCACAGGTAAAGTGGATCTTCTCCTCGGTGGTGGAGCTGAAGCAGACGCTGGCTCCTGACTATAAGAACATGATTGGACAAGGGCCTTAGGACATCTCCTTCGATGGGCAGAGGGTTTCCCAGGCCCAGAAGGATCCAGTCAAGTAGCCTGACTCAGATCACACTGTCTGTCCACACACGCTCACTACCCTCTGACCCCGAGACCCAGCCGCCCTCCATTCATCCCCCATTGGAGGGCCGTGTGAAGAGTAGATTCCACCCCAGGTGACAGCCACCAGGACCTAACTCACCCTCACAGCAGTAGCCAAGATACTGGACAGGGCCAGAAGGGCCACAGTTTCTTCCACTGTATATCCAGACGGTTGGGACGGAAGAGCGCGCACTGAAGAAGAGACGGGTGCCCACATTGTCTGCGTCCAACTGTAAAGGGACCGACCTTGGAGCCAGCCCTGACCCCATCATCCTCTGAAACACAGGGGTTCCTGACAGAAGAGGCAGTTTTCAGATCCCTGAAAGCAGACATCTTTCAACCAGGCCAGGAAGACCAAGGAGACCGTGGCTCAACTGAAGACCACTGAAATAACTCCAGTGGGCTTCACATCACCCATGTCCAGCCAGGCTCCTTTCTGCCCCTTCCATGAGCCCTGGGATAAAGAAAAGGCCTGTGTTTCTCAGGATCTTGGGACAGAACCTTCTAAAGACTGGGTTCCTTGTGTAGATCCTTCTTCTGGACACCGGATTCTTAGATGAAGAACCCAGTTCACAGACAACCCTGATCCCACAGCCTTGAGACCTGGACACTGCCACCCCTCCCCCCCACCCTGGGTTGTCTCAACTACACTCTGGGGACATAGCAGAGGTGAGCCAGGGCTTCATAACCTCTTTGTGGCCCTGGAAGGTGCAGGTATAAAAAGTCACTGATCAGGGGCTGTGTGAGCAGCAAGGGCCTCCTGGAGAGGGACCTGATGAGCAGGTGCCAATCAGGCTGGACTAAAGAAGACAAAGAGAGATAGAGGTGGAGACTGGAGAGAGCATGTACAGCAAGCAGGCTCATCCTCCAAGCCTGGCATCTGCTCCCGCATACTTGCAGCGACTAGTAACAGTCGGAGGAGAAACCCAAGGAACTGCCATGTCCTACAGAGGTCCAATGCCTGCTTCTCCATCCCCTCCCAGCCAGTGAAGAGACAGGAAGCAAAAGAAAAGGAAAAGTAGGTACCTGCCCTTCGGTGACTGGCAGGAAGTTCTCAGATGACTTGGGGCTTTGGCTTCTTCTGATTTCCTGGAGATCCTTGATACCTTTAAGATCTCTCTCTCTCTCTCTCTCTCTCTCTCTCTCTCTCTCTCTCTCTCTTGCTTGTTGGGTTTGTTTGTTTGTTTGTTGACAATAAAACATTTTTCAGATATTCTGCAACCACTGAGTTCTTCCCATGTGGACCGGCCCTGACATTCAGGAACAAGGAACAATTAGGCAGACCACTGGGCCATGAGTGCAGGCCCCTCTACCTCTCTCCTGGTCGTGTGCCTTCCCAGGCCTCCCCTAGTGAGCCCTTCCCTGCTGGGCTCTAGCTCTGCCACCTCATACCACAGAGGCCCTCAGTCTTTCCTCTCTACAGGCAGTTTCTTCCCAGCTAGTGGCTAACCCACAGCCCAGGGTGGCCCCCAGGCTGGCCAGACAAAGCCTCCTACACCAGCCAAGAAGCACATGCCTCCCAGTGACCTCAAGTTGCTGTGCCAAAGGACAGGGATTCCTCTGCCTCCATAACTGATGTTTATTGTCTCAAGCCCTAGTAGAAGTCCCAGATGGGGTATTGACAGGGTGGGTTCTCAGCAGGCCCTTCTCCTCTGTGTCCTCACAGGCCATCCCTCTGTGTGTGTCTGTGTCCTCATCTCTCCTCCTAAGGGCACAGTCAGGCTGGAGGAGGTACAGCCTAGCCCTCATTATAGCTTACCTGTTTAAGATCCTGTCTGCACCAGGCGGTGGTGGTACGTGCCTTTAATCCCAGCACTCATGAGGCAGGCAGATCTCTGTGAGTTCAAGGCCAGCCTGATCTAAAGAGCAGGGCTGTTACACAGAGACCCTGGAGAGAGAGAGAGAAAGAGAGAGAGGGAGAGAGAGAGAGAGAGAGAGAGAGAGAGAGATCCTGTCTGCAAACATAGGCACAGTCTAAGGTCCTAGGGACCTAAATGTCAATTGGTGAATCTGCTGGGGAGAGAATCTAGCCCATAATAGCTTTCCCAATGACCCCCAAAGCTCCTATCTTTCCTACATATGATGTCCCCCATGCCAACATCCCAAAGTCTCACCCATCCAGAATTCAGTTCTATCCCAATGTCCTCCAAATGTCTGCTAGTTGGGTAAGGGTGAAATGTGGATGAGACTCTTCCAGAGCCAAATTCAGGCTGTACAGGCCATGGCTGTCAGGAAGAAGGTCAGGCAGTAGGCACAGAGCAGACTTTATACCAGAGTGACCTGAACTCAAGTTCCAAGGCAGACCATAGACTGATTACAACCTGTAGAGGAGAGAGCCCACTGCAACCCTCTCCCACTAGCTCGGTGGTAACACCCTTTCTGTGGGGGAGGGAAGGAATAGTAAGTAGAATAGCAGAATCAAGGGAAACCAAGACTACACAGGAACTGCCCAGTGTCTCCTGTGGTGTTTTGTGTGTCTGTCTTCCCATGAAGATCAGGAGACACAAACTCCATGGCCTGAGGTAACCATATAGAGGGATATCTGGGGCCTGGAATGTAGGGAGTATCAGCACCCATGGAAAGAAAATGTGCACAGCCTCCTGAGTAGATACCCCAAGAGCAGGTGCCAGGTGCTGGCTGGGCAGTGAGTTCTCGGGAGGAATTTAGTGACTGAGATGTCTTAAGGCATATTCTTGACGAGCAGAGACTGTTCATGTCTGTATAAGTGCTAGAGGTGGCCGTACGAGGGAGCTCAGCCAGGCTGGACTGGTCAGGAGAGGACCCTGTCAGCATAGCTAAAATCCAAACCGGCCAGTGTCATTGTGGCTTCTGGTGTTGGGAAAGACATGATTTACCCAGGGCTGAAGAGCAGCAGATCCTGTGAGTGGTGTTGCTGCTATGGAAGCCGTAGGGAGGAGTGCAGAGGATGACAGTGGAGCGACATGGGACCTGAGACGCTGACACAAAGCTCCACAGGACACAGAGCTGGGAGCAAAGGCAATGGAAGCCGCAGTGCAATGAGGACAGCACTGCCTTATCCTGAGGGAAGCTCGTTAGTCCTCCACAGACTCTCTGCTGAGTTTGTGACCAAACCGGCCTCCTTGCAAAGTGAGGGAGGCCGGTCACAGGGATCTTGAGTTCCGAGGACATCAGGGCCTGAGACAGTCTTGCTGTTCTGCTAAAGCACCCTGTGAAATAAAACCTAAGGAAAAAAGTCTGTTTTGTCTCATAGCCCAAGTGTACAATCCACATGGCAACGCCTTAGTTTCATCTCTGTGGCTGTGATAAAGTAAAAACAACAGCAGCTTTGTTCAGCCTGCAGTTTGAGGTCACAGCCTATCTCTGTGGTATGGGAAAGCAGGAGCTTGAGGCAGCTACTCACATGCACAGTCAAGAGCAGAGAGAGAGAACACACACATGCTACTCACATGCATAGTCAAGAGCAGAGAGAGAGAACACACACATGCTACTCACATGCGCAGTCAAGAGCAGAGAGAGAGAACACACACATGCTACTCACATGTGCAGTCAAGAACAGAGAGCGAGAACACACACATGCTACTCACATGCACAGTCAAGAACAGAGAATGCACACATGCTACTCACATGCGCAGTCAAGAACAGAGAGAGAGAACACACACATGCTACTCACATGCACAGTCAAAAACAGAGAACGCACACATGCTACTCACATGTGCAGTCAAGAACAGAGAGAGAGAACACACACATGCTACTCACATGCACAGTCAAGAACAGAGAGAGAGAACACACACATGCTACTCACATGCACAGTCAAGAACAGAGAACGCACACATGCTACTCACATGCGCAGTCAAGAGTAGAGAGAGAATGCATGCATGCTCACTTCTCAGTGACACATAGGAAGGAGATTAAGGAAATGTGGTCTGGATTTTATCAAAACACATTATGTGTATGTATGAAATTCTCATACGATATAAAAAAGTACTACAGGAATAACTCAGCAGAGGAAGGCACCATGCATGAAGCTGTGATGACGAAAGCCTAAGTGTATTGGAAATCCAGGAGCTCAGTTTGATCACCAGGACCCAGATGGTAGAAGCGGGAAAAAAAATTTCTCAAAAGTTGTTCTCCTACCTCCATATGTGCACCATGTCATACACAGAGAGACAGAGAGAGAAAGAGAGAGAGAAAGAGAGAGAGCCATGCACACACTCAACATTAACACAACATACACACACACACACACACACACCACACATACATATACATGCACACATGCACACACACACACAGAGAGACATACATGCACACACTCAACATTAACACGTCATACATACACACACACACATACATACACATGCACACACACAGAGAGAGAGAGAGAGAGAGAGAGAGAGAGAGAGACATACATGCACACACTCAACATTAACACGACATACATACACACACAGAGAGAGATACATGCACACACTCAACATTAACACGACATACATACACACACACACCACACATACATACAAATGCACACACACACACACACAGAGAGAGAGAGAGAGAGAGAAAAACATACATGCACACACTCAACATTAACACAACATACATACATACATACACACACACACATACATACACATGCACACACACGCACGCACACGTACATTTTTGAAGGGCTGCATCCTTTGATCTCTCTCCCTGCAGGCACTTGTCTGCACTGCTGAACGTGTCCCTGCTCCTGCCCTTGCCCAAGCAGCACGTTTCCCACATCTCCGCACTCCACTGTCTGCTCTCAGTGTAACTCTGGCTATGAAACGTGAGTCATCAACATGCCACGGCCTCAGTGTGATGCCGACTTGGACAATTTACTCCACCAAGTAAATTGTTTCCTAGAATGTAACACAGGCCTCCAGGTCAGTCTTGG